GGCAGCCGGGCTGTGTCTGTGCTGTCGAGCACGAAGATGAGGGTGTTGGTATCATCCAGGTAGTCAGGCCAGCTTGCCCGCAGGCTGCCTTGTCCGCCAACGTCCCAAAGGGTGAAGGAAAGGCCACAGGGCGTTTGCAGAGACTCCACATTGAAGCCCCCCGTCGGGCAGGTCTCCACAGCCTGGCCGCTCTTCAGTTTGTACAGAAGGGTGGATTTGCCGGCAAAGTCGAGTCCCAGCATGACAACTCGGGCATCTCTTCTGTGCCAGCCTTTAGAGATCAGCTTCCCCATCAAGATGCTGCCGCGACCGTGGTAAAAAAAAGAAAAAATTGCAGCCTCAAAAAGAAAGCAAGCGTATTCCCTTGGTAATATTAGTTAATAAGAGTGCTCAGTCCTCCCTCTCCGAGAGAGCACCTTAGTTTTGCTGAAAGAAAGGCACAGGCAGCTTGCTTTTGCTTCTCTTCATAGCTAAAACGAGGTGAGAGCTATCATTTATCAAGCGTGGAGCAGAGCCAGGGAGCAGCGTTCAAAACAATTTCTGTACCCCAGCTCTGCTGCCACTCATTTCAATTTTCATTTGCAATTTGAAGTGATCGGTGCAAAAGAGAGCCAACATTTTGCAGGAAGAGGTGGGGAGACGGTGGAGCAAGTTTCCTCCTTGCCACGTACAGAAAAAAATGAGCTTTTGTTCATTGGCTTCTCTGGTGGAAATCCACCCCCAGCAGGACAGAACAAGGAGGAACCCAGGTTTCAGACCACGGTTACTCTGGGAATATGCTGAATCACAGCTCAAGGGTGTGGATTTAAACCTAAGCAACAAGACAACTGACAATTTTTTCTGCCGGTCTTCTGTTTAAAAGTACAAAACCAATCTCCATAGCATCAGCTTTTACTACCTGTTGTGCAGACAGTAATGATAGCAGTTTAAAAAAATGAACACAGGCATGTTTTTTTAAAGTCACACTGAAATACGACTAGTCAGAATGCCTTCCCTGGGGTGAAAATCTATGAAATTCTTCACATCAAAGTATTTAATACATTTCAACTTTTGTAAGTGAAGCAAGGTCAGTCCTCTGTGGCTGGGAGGGTAAAAAATCCCTTAAAAGAAGCGAAAAATGTTTAACAAGACAGCACTACACGAACTTTACACGCCAGAGGCAAAAATGTGCTGCTGAAACAGCTCCCAGAGTCGTTTGTGCAAGAGCAGCAGCAGGCAGCCAGACGGAATCCCTGCAAAGCTGGTATTTACCTTCTTTATTGGTCGGGTTTTCCTCCAAAAAGCCTGCTCAGAGGCGTGCAGAACTGAAAGCAACTGTAGATCTTGCATCGCGGCGTTAATGCAGAGTTGCTCTCCAGCCGCCTTTATTTGAGGAGGAAATGTGATTCATCTGTTCTTCCCTGGGACAGCGGGGAATTTCCACTTATCAGTGGGAGATGTAGTTTTCTCAGCAATGATCTCTACATGACGGCTCCATGTGACAAGTCACCATTGCTGGGGATGAAGTCCAGCACAACATGTGGAAGGGACCATCTCGTTAGCAACCAGGTGGCCATTCAGAGGCATATTTCTTCTTTTGGGGGCAAGACGGGTCACTTTTCAACTTTTTAAAGAAAGGAAGATGAATGAAAACCAAAACAAACCAAGGAGTCCATCCCAGATAGGCTGCATGGGATTGCAAGGTGTCCTACAGGCCGTGTTTTGCAAGGTATTTCTGGGATACACGTCTCTCCCAGAGTTAACTCACAGAGCTGGTTGGCATCAAGCGCCTCCATGAACTTTGTGAAGTTTGTGGATACATAAGATGTGTTGCTATGGTGAAGCTTTAGGTTAAATCAAATGCTAATGCTTATTTACAGCAGTTGTTGCAGAGCTAAAGCACCACCACGCATGTGATAAATCATGCAGTATATGCTCATGTGTGATCTTCTCTGAAACCAGTCTATAAATGGAAAAAGGGCAGGAAGGTCTCTAGATGGAAATAGAAAAAGGGAACTATGATGCGCCACGGATGCTGGTCCTTCAGGGAACTGCCTGCAGTGCACACTGCTGCCCAAGAGTTACACATTTGTCCTAGTTCTTCATATTTAAAAAATAAGTTAAATTGTTATGTGGCTCCTTAATCTGCCTGCTCTCCATTTTGGGAAAAGCTTTCTCCATATATTGTGGACGTCCTTTTCCTGGAAGTGTTTAAGGCCAGGTTGGACAAGGCTTTGAACAATCTGTTCTGGCGGAAGGTGTCCCTGCCTATAGCAGGGTTATTGGAACTAGATGATCATGAAGGTCCCTTCCAGCCCAAACCAATCTGTGATTCTACAGTTCCGTGACATTGCATTGTACTGCATGTTCCACTTAGTTGGCATTGTTGGACAAACCAGTTGGTCAAGTGAATTCTCTCTTGACCTTTTCATGTTTCTCCTGCCTTTGCTACTGTTTGTCCCTTCTGAGGCTTGATAGGAGGCAGTGGTACACATCTGTTTCACCTGACCAGACCTTCCGAGCATTGAATTTTCTTTTAAGTAAACTAAAATACAGATACGGGAAGCAAGTGTGGAGATCCTACCATCCAATGAATAATGGAGTATTTGAAACATGATCTGATGGAGTCTTTATTGCATCACTCTCTAACATGCTACAGAAGTAGGCTGCTT